AGAGAGATGGAGGTAAAGAGAGAGAGAGATGGAGGTAAACAGAGAGATGGAGGTAAAGAGAGAGATGGAGGTAAACAGAAAGATGGACATAAAGAGAGAGTGACTGAGGTAAAGAGAGAGATGGAGGTAAAGAAGAGATGGAGGTAAAGAGAGAGATGGACGTACAGAGAGAGATGGACGTAAAGAGAGAGATGGAGGTAGAGAGAGATGGTGGTAAAGAGTAAGATGGAAGGAATAGAAAGGGAAGAAGAGGAAGAAGTGACCCCACCTGGAAACCTGGTCCTGGGCCTCACCTGTATAAGGAAATGGTCCCATGTCTCACCCTCTTGCAGCCTTTGGCACCCACCTAGACTGAACCCCAGAGAAGGTGGAGCCAATCCCAGGTACCAGCTTACAAGCAGGGCCTTCACTTTGGGTCTGGGTTGAAATTCCAGACAGGCCCAGCTTTGTCCATTTTTCTCTAGAGCAAAGATACATCTCTCACCAGCCCAAGTTAAGCGTATGTGAGGGACAAGTGTTTAGAGTTCATATAACAAACAAGATGAGGACTACTTTACAGGGAACAGATACTCTCTGGTTTGATTCCAAGAAACCCACAGGACAGTGTCAGGCAGTCACAGAGTTTTGTGAAGTGTTGTAACTGCTCCAGCTGTTTCTTACCTGCCGTGCGCAGGACAGGAAGTAAGAATTTCTTCCTCAATATATTGTCAGTTTCAAGAAGACATTTCAGTTGTAAAGTTCTTGTTGTTACAGTTTTAAAATTCGTGGACAGAAGGATGGTCAGAAGGCCTCTAGTTTAAGGCCTTACGTTAAAATGTTCTCAATTTGCAGACTTACCTGAAAGCAGCAGCTGGGGAAGCAGCAGTTGGGGATGCTATGGAAACATCCCAACCCTCGAAATCCCTGGGGCGTCTTGTGGGGTTGGAAGACCCAGAGGCCTGAACTGCTCGGGTAGTTACGATCTCCTGGCCCACTCCTGCCTCCTCCTCCTTCCTCCCTTTGGCTAGAGCAGCTTCAGTGGGATTTCTGCCCCCCCCCCTTCCTCTGTACTGCACCCCATACCTCCCTGACCTTCCCCACTTGTCTCCACCCTCTCAGCACGTCCTAACGGCTCCCACTGTCTCCCGTGGCCCCAAGCTGTGGACGGGTGGAAGGGGCACGCGGTGTGGCATCCAGAGACCTGGTGGGAGTCCCGGCTCTGCTTCTGGAACAGGTCTGAGCCTCTGCTGAGAGGGGGATCACAGACCTCGCTTAGTATCGTTGTAACCCTGATTCATACAGTGTGGGTGAGAGTGCTTTTTAAACAACAGAAGTGTTTAGAAGTGGTTAGCCAGGTACATTAGCATCGGCTTGCATTTTTTCCAGCATTTCTTGTTACTTTATAAAGCTTTAAGCTCACAGAGTATCCTCCGCCTGATTTCTGGGTGAGCAGATCTGTTGACGGAAGCTCTCCAAAGCTGCGTTGAACGTTTGGGGGCATTTTTCGTTCCCATCTTGTGGAACAAGCCACATTTTACGTGTAATCCTCCGCGGGGAGCCCCGGATGGGGCCAGTGCCACCCAGGCCCATGGAATCGTGCTAGAGAGACCCAGCCCAGGGGCACTGCCATGTGGGGCAGCCTCAGGGGACGCCTGCCTCAGGGGACACTGCCTCGAGCTCATGGAAGAACCATAACTTCTGGTCAGGGAGTGGCCACTAGGGATTTTTTTTAAAAAAACGTTTTTCACATGTACAATTTGCCCCTGGGGATTTGAGACGGCAACTTGGGCTTTTTGGCCTCCACCCCTAGATCTTCGGAGCGTCCCTGCCCCCTTGGGCTCCGGTGGCAGTAAGTCACCAGATACGCTGGGGAAAGCCGTGTTTGTTAATTTAAAAAACTTTTTTTTTTTTTTTTTTACATTTGCTTTAGGAGTCCGTGCTTCTGAAAGGCTGGCTGAAATAGACATGGCACAGCTAGTGAGATACCAACCCATTTCGCGGACTGTCGGCCGGAAGTACTGCGTGGACCCTGCGGTCATCACCGCTGTCTTGTCCAGGCAGGCTCACGGAGGCAACGTTCTGGTCAACGTGGGAGACGTGGGCGATGGGGTTGGGGTGGTGCAGGTAACGATTCGCCAGTCGTCTCTGCTGGCATAACTCCAAGGGGACACCCTCACGACTTACTTCTTTATCTTTTGGCTGATGGCACCCCTGGGGCACAGTTCTAGCACAGAGTGAAGGGTACTCGCTGGAGTTGTGAGAAAGGCCCCTGGACGGTGCAAGGGGTTTGCACTCCACTACTAACCTAGAGCTTGGTGGTTCGAACCCACCCAGCAGCACCAGGAAGAAAGGCCTGGCGATCTGCTTCCATAAACATAACAGCCAAGAAAACCTTATGAAGCTCAGTTCTACTCTGCCACCCATAGGGTCACCATGAGTGGGAACTGCTTGACGGCAAGGAGGTTTTGGTTTGTTTGTTTTGGGAGTTGCTAGGACCGCCCTTCTGCCTTAGAGCATGAGTAATTTTTTTTTTTTTAATTTATTGTGTTTTCGGTGAAAAAACAAACCCATTGCTGTTGAGTCGATTCTGACTCATGATGACCCTATAGGACAGAATAGGGTTTCCAAGGAGGAGTTGGTGGATTTGAACTGCCAACCTTCTGGTTAGCAGAGGAGCTCTTAACCACTATGCCACGAGGGCTCCAAAGGGGTATAAGAAAGGTTAAAATACCTTTAGACATTTAGATCATCTGGAAGGAAATTACAAGTATAGTTAGAAAACCCCTTTCTGACCTGTTTGGAAGGCTTGCATTTGCTGCACACTGAAGGAGGAAATCAGGCTAGTACCTACGTGAGCTCTGTCATCTTTGGCTTCCAACTCTTCTTCTCACCATTACACAACAAAACCAAAACCAAACCAGTTGCCATCAAGTAGACTCATGGCGACCCCATGCGCGTCAGAGTTGAACCGTGCTCCACAGAGTCTATAATGGCTCATTTTTTGGAAGTACATTGCCAGGCCTTTCTTTCAAGGTGCCTGTGGGTGGACTTGAACCACCAACCTTTTGGTTAGCAGCCGAGTGCGTTAACTATTTCCACCACCCAGGGCTCCAATCTGCAGGTCTCTTGCTTTGCCCAAACCTTGTAGCTTTACTATTTATCCCCCAGGGAGAGTGAAGGTGGCATTGGTTCCCCCAAAGGAGGATGAGAAAAAGAGAAAGGACATGAAAATGTCACATCACTCTCCCACCTAGCTTCTCTTCTGTCTACCTCCCTCCAGGACCCTGGTCTTCTTGCTCCCAAGTCCTGGATCAGTGAGTCCCAGGTTGCCCAGATGACTGAGGTCCTGACTGTTGGAATGAAAGAGATCCAGAGGAAGTTTCCAAGCTAGACCCCGGACAGTATCTGAGGGGTACGTGCAATGCTATCTGACCAATTGTTTCACGGCACAGAATTAATCGGGACAAATGTAATGGATTCCACCAGATTCCCAAAGACCACAGCTACCTCCCGATGGGCAATCAGGAAAGACTATGCAAGTTGACAGCTGAATACCCTAAAACAGCTAGGAGCGATCAGACAGTGTTAACGATCACTGTAATTTCAGGTGGCCTCTGCTCCTACAGTGGAGGGGTTGGCTATGTCAGAAGTAGCCAGGACCTGAGCTGCGACTTCTGCAACGACGTCCTTGCACGAGCGAAATACTACAAGAGACATGGCTTCTAACGCTTCAGGTCAAATCCAAGACCATCATCATACACGAGCCTCGTCTGCCACACAGATAAAACTAGCCAGTGGAGGTTGTAATGCAAACAAATTTGACCTGAAGATCCTCAAAGTAACGTGAATCATAATACAGGATGAATTATAACCTGAGTTTTGTGGTCTGGTGTGTGTGTGAGAGAGACTTAAGGGTTCTTTCTCTTTAAAGGTATCTTCATAGAGATTAGCTGCAGTGTGGATTTCTGTAAAATGAATCCTGTAACTCATTGACTAGCCTTGCCAGATTTAGCAAATCAAAATAGAGGAAGCCCAGTCAAGTTCAAATTTCAGATAAACAAGGAATAATTTTTTAGTCTCCGTCCCATGCAATATTTGGGACATGTGTTGTTGTTAGCTGCTGTTGAGTCAGTTCTGACTCATAGCGACCCCAAGTACAACAGAAGGAAACACTGCCTGGTCCTGTGCCATCCAACCATTTCAGGGGGTAACATATGATCAGGAACCGATGATACCGAAGGAACAAGTCCAAGCTGCACCAAAGGCATTGGCAAAAAAAAGTCTCCAGGAATTGATGGAATACCAATTGAGATGTTTCAGCAAACGGATGCAGTGCTGGAAGTGCTCACTTGTCTATGCCAAGAAATTTGGAAGACAGCTACCTGGCCAGCCAACTGGAAGAGATCCATATTTATGCCTATTCCCAAGAAAAGTGATCCAACCGAATCTGGAAATTATCAGACAATATCATTAATATCACATGCAAGCAAAATTTTGCTGAAGATCATTCAAAAGTGGTTGCAGCAGTATATCAACAGGGAACTGCCAGAAATTCAAGCCAGATTTAGAAGAGGACGTGGAACCAAGGCTATCATTACTGATGTCAGATGGATCCTGGCTGAAAGCAGAGAATACCAGAAAGATGTTTACCTGTGTTTTATTGACTATGCTAAGGCATTCAACTGTGTGGATCATAACAAATTATGGGTAACATTACGGAGAATGGGAATTCCAGAACACTTAATTGTGCTCATGAGGAATCTGTACTTGGATCAACAGGCAGTCATTCGAACAGAACAAGGGGATACCGTATGGTTTAAAGTCAAGAAAGGTGTACATCAGGGTTGTATCCTTTCACCATACCTATTCAATCTGTATGCTGAGCAAGTAATCCAAGAAACTGGACTATATGAAGAAGAAAGTGGCATCAGGATTGGAGGAAGACTCATTAACAACTGTGTTATGCAGATGACACAACTTGCTTGCTGAAAGTGAAGGGGACTTGAAGCACTTATTGAAGAAGATCAAAGACCACAGCTTTCAGTATGGATTACACCTCAACATAAAGAAAACAAAAAATCCTCACAACTGGACCAATAAGCAACATCATGATAAACAGAGAAAAGGTTGAGGTTGTCAAGGATTTCATTTTACTTGGATCCACAATCAATACCCATGGAAGCAGCAGTCAAGAAATCAAAAGATACATTGCATTGGGCAAATTTGCTGCAAAAGACCTCTTTAAAGTGTTGAAAAGCTTGGATGTCACCTTGAGGACTAAGGTGCAGCTGACCCAAGCCTTGGTGTTTTCAGTCGCCTCATATGCATGTGAAAGCTGGACAATGAATAAGGAAGACTGAAGAAGAACTGATGCCTTTGAACTGTGGGATTGGTGAAGAATATTGAATATACCATGGACTGCCAAAAGAATGAACACATCTGTCTTGAAGGAAGTACAGCCAGAATGCTTCTTAGAGGCAAGGATGGCGAGGCTACGTCTCACATACTTTTGGACATGTTATCAGGAGGGATCAGTCCCCAGAGAAGGACATCATGCTTGGTAAAGTAGAGGGTCAGCGAAAAAGAGGAAGACCCTGAACGAGATGGACTGACACAGTGGCTGCAACAATGGGCTCAAGCAGAACAACGATTGTGAGGATGGCGCAGGACTGGGCAGTGTTTCATTCTGTTGTGCACAGGATAGCTATGAGTTGGAACCAACTCAACGGCACCTAACAACCTAGCAACAACATCAAGTGATGACCTCTCAAAGGAATGTTGGGAGACAGCCTCTGTAGCCTGGCAGAGTTAAGTAAACCAGGCTGACGTGAATAAAACAGAACGAAACTGAACTGCAGCGTGATGTTTCGGGCTAAGCTGCTCACCCTGCCCAGGTTGGCGTCTTCCTTAGTCGGCTTTCTCCAGAGGCAAAGGCAGTGTCACATTGCTCTCTGTTGGTGACAGCGCATTATGACCTGTTTGGGCCATTTTCCCATTTTTCCTGGACATTTTGTTCTTGGCCCTGGGTTGACAGCAGCTTCCACAAAGGAACCACAAGGAACCAGAAGGAACCAGAAGCTGTGAACAGGCTTGAGGCTTTCTCACCCTTCTGCCAGCCTCGGGGAAATCCACTGAGTTTGGGTCAAATCTGGGGGGCAGTTGCTGACGACTTTGACTCCTGGATATCCCCTGTCCATTGCCTGTTGCAGAACTGGGCCCTGAGTCCCTCAGGGAGGCCGATATTCTCCTGGGCCTCTCTGCTGCTGTACACGTCTGAGCTGAAACGTGGGTCTACTCCTCTCAACCCTCAACTGGACCCTAAGAAGTGGAGAACGACCCCTGACCATCTCCATCATCCCAGCCACCTTTTGATGTTAGACCTAAGGGGCTGGAATTCTGGAAAATGCCCATGCAGTTCTCATAAATCAAAAAAACCCAAACCCGTTGCAGTCGAGTCTATTCCGACTCATAGCGACCCTATAGGACAGAGTAGAACTGCCCCGTAGGGTTTCCAAGGAGCGGCTAGTGGATTCAAACTGCCAACCTTCTGGTTAGCAGCCGTAGCTCTTAACCAGTGCACCACCAGGGCTCTGCATGTTTTAAAAATCCTTGCAAAAGACCCCTGGGGCTCAGGAATCCTTCTAGGATCATTTAAAAGGAGCCTTATACAGCAGTTACTTGTGAGATCAGATTTGCCTAAACTTTAGAATCCCAAGGAATTCTTAAAGTAGCATTTATTTCTGACAACTAAATTAATACACGTTTCTTGTTGAGCACTTAAAAATCCCTGAAAGGGACAAAGAAGACAAAGTCAACTGTGATTATGCCACCATTACTTAATATTTTGTTTTATGTTGTCTGATTCCCTTCTTTTCTTTCTTTGAATACAATTAACAAAAGACTAGGATCTAGACTATGTATGCTATATTGATTCTTCAAAAAAAGAGGAAAAGACCAACAACCCAGTGAAAAATGATTAAAAGTTACAAGCAGGAGTTCCGGCAAAATGGCGCTCTAGGCAGAAGCACCACGCCATCCCTCCATAGCAAAGATCCGAAAAACTAAGCCGAACAG